GGACCTGTCAAGTCCCTTTCAAGTCTTCAAAGCTTTTTGGAATATAATGCCTTGTGCACCTACTGGTTCCAGTTTATTAAAATTTTAGAAACTTGAAGCGTAAGGAAAACTAAATCATATCATCTAAACTGATAATTACTTCTATCAAACATTAATGTTCATGGAAATTTCCACTTGATAGAATCTTTTTTGGCGTTGTTAACTGATAATTATTGATTATGACTTTGTCTGAAATACACTAATCTATTAGCCTTGACACGATCTACTTAAAAGCAGATAAAAACATAGGAAACAAATGGAGCGATAAAAAGGAGGTAAAGTTACAAGATTTCTTTCTCTAGGTTCATGTGAAATATAAAATATTCAACTTTAATGTTCTCAAAAGTTTTTTTTTTTTTTAAACGGAAAGGTTATTAAATTAATGTTCTTTTTGTTGCTTGACAACGGATTTTAGGGTCTTTTTCTGTTTATTATGTTTTTATTTTTGGTGTGTTTTTACTATAATAACTGGAGTTTTCACTCCGTTGTCTTTTTTTATTTTTCGTGTCTGTTGAACTGGTATCTTGGCAGTATTTGGTGTAGCATTAGTGTTACGATGTTTTATCATCCATCATTCAAAAGCTTATCTTGCTTAGAGAGGTTTCATCAAATAGAGCCTTAAGTGTGCTCGATCTTAGTGTGCTGAGGTATTCTCTCATTTTTTAGCTTTAGGTGTACATTCGTTCCCCTACTGGTCATTAGCCTTCTATTGTGTTTTTTACTTTTTTTAAATGTAAGTTCCTTGACATATGAGTTTTTATTAAAAAAATAATGTTCTCAAATGTTAATATATTCAACTTTAAATGTTCTCAAAAGTTATTAAATTAATGTTCTTGAAAGTGTCAGATTCTGTCAAAATTAAAGATAAATCGTATAAAGTTATGGATAATCGTTTGTTAACCTAATAATAAAGAAATATTATCCTTTTTTATTATTAAAGTAACGAGTTAAAATAAAATAACGTGTGAAGAGAAAAAAATGGTCATGAATTAATAATCTTATGGAAATAATTAGGGTGCGTCATTCTCAAACTCATGATAATTTTTATTTTTCCCTAAATAATGTCCTAAATCCAAATTTCTCTTAATCAATTACCTTTAACAAAAAACTGAAATCAAAACCTTAGTGCAAACGTATTGGATATTGAGATATGTTCATATCGTTACTTGATCAAAACCTTCACTTACAAGATAGGGAAAAGATTACGACTTCTAGTTATATCATTGTTCAGATGTCGTTAAAGAATCTTACAAGTATATTAGCGCGTTTGGGAGCAAGAAAATTTGGACCACCATTGAACTAAAAAAATTATTGGCACAAAAAGAACGTAAAGTTCAAAAGAAATCCACTTTACTCGACCTGCAGATTTTGTTGTTTTTGGTCTTTTAATGAACAAAGTTTGTGGAAAAGGACAGCCAAGTAGGTCTGGCTCTGAACAGAAAATTGAGGAGTGTCCCAATAGTTCTCAAGTCAATTTGGTGATCGAATAGAATTTAAAACTACTAGCTTATGGCATCCTTTCCGCTCTATTACTTATTGTTACTTAAAACTAATTTATTAATGCTATTACAGTTTGAGATGCATCTGTTTCTACACTATGATTTTTTAAAGTAAAATTAGCGTATATTGACTGTTAATTTTTCATGAATCTGAGATTAACTAAAGTCTCTTTCAATGAAGATTCTGACTGACTGCAACGATTTTGATGTTTTTTTAATTCTCTTGTTGAACTTTTCATAGAAGGTTGTTCAAAGGTGCTCTTTTGAACATATCTTGGCTATGATTTTCATCATTTCATGGTCAAAGTCTGGATCTTGGGATTTTCTATTAGCACTTCCAACCTTTAAGCTAAAAGATTCAAAACTCAGGGTCTAAACTTAGAAAATAGGAATCTTGGAAAATAGAATCCTAGGAGAGTTTTGACTTTCGAGTATCATTGACTTGATTGAATCAATCATTTTGGACTAGCCAAAACCAGTCACGTGTTATATATTACTGGCTACCGTGTTCTTATCATTTGGGGCTCGCTCGATCGCTTTGCTTTCTCTCACATTAACTCAACTTTGTTTCTACTTTTGTGGTTTCTACTCAGAGGACAGCTGTAATCCGGCTGTGCTTCGTTTTATTTGGACTCGGACAGTCTGCAAATGACAAATTACAAAACACAAACCCATTCTAAGGATTACACAGATTTACGTCTTCTATGGGTTTTGTTCTCTGATCTCTACTATCCTTGACTGGATGATTCATTGCTAGATGATTTGGTCGGTTTGTTTCCGTGTGTGTGTGTGTGTGTGTGTGTGTAACCGACTTTGTAGTCAAATCGATATAAAATGGCCAAAGCTTGACTTCCAGATTGATAGACTCGAATTCTATATATTGAATGCATGCATGCAGCTACCTCAGATAAAATCTCAAGTAATTAAGAGCGCCTATATAATATATATATATATATGTGTGTATATATATTATATAGACACATAAGCGTATGTGTTCATAATCAGAGATAAAGACCAGAAGCTGGTAATCCAAATTGGGCCAATGAAACGACTCGCACTTCGAGTCCAGGAATTTTTGTACCGGAGAGGGAAGGAAATAACATATTTAAATAAGATATTTAATAAATTGTAACATATTTTTGTTAAAATAGTAGATTTTAAGTTTTAAATATTATTAAAATCCTAAACATACCTCGAAGTCTCCTTTCCACTCCTCTTTAAATTTATTTGACTATTATTAATATTTTTTTATTAGTTTAATATATTATCTCATCTTTTATTTTTAATTATATCATAATTTATTTTCTTATGTTTCCACAGTTTAAATCCCAACTTTTAAAAAGTTTCGAAACACTAATAGCATATTTACCTACGCGTAATCAAAATGGGCATAAATTAGAGTGGACAAGATTCAGAGTGAGTAGAATTTGGAGTAAAGAATCGGAGTCAGAATAAGTTGTTTACTAGGAGACATTTGGAAGGGGGATTCAGCCCCTGATTCGAATCATGATTTGTGGTTCGCTACAGTATTTTCTCTCACAAAAAATACACGTAAATCAAAAATGGTTCTAATCTCATGATTCTAATCCATGAACAAAACGTCTCCTAGTGATAGGATTCAAAGTCGGAGTCACTCCAAAACTCATTCATGCGTTTACTTACACCTAAAATCAGTATAAAATAGTGTAAAAGTACTAATATATCCTTTAAGTCAATTTTATATTTTTAATTTAAAAAATAAATTGTGTACTTATTATATTAAAATTAATCATAATTAAAATATTTAGTGTAATAATAGGATATTAAAATAATAAATATAAATTATACGATTATTTAAAATATAAAAATAAATTGTTAAAAAATTTAAATATAATAAATAAAAATAAAAAAGTGTTAAAATATTAAAATATATTATTAATTTATTAAAAAAATTAAGTACAACATTATAATATTAGGTAAATAAAATAATAAATATATGTTGTAATTATTATTTTTTGAATTTTATATTTATAAGTAAAATAGGGTATGATAGTAATTTAATGTTAATATTAGGAATGATAGTCTCAATTCCAAGAGGGGCATGGGCGTATCAATCTCATTCCTCATTCCCAAATTTGAGTGATGCCCACTAATCTCACTCTCATTTCAGGATAAAAGAGAACAAGTAAACATGAGATTGACTTGCATTTCTCACTCTCATTCTTCAATCTTGGTAAGTAAACATGCCATAATTCATATTATATTCTCAGTTCAATTTTACAATTTATTTATATATCTAAACACCGGTTCAAAATGCAATTTAAATCACAACCGTTCAAATTTTATAGTTCAAACAAAAACGGTTCAAATCACCGCAGTTTGAATTGTTCAACAAAACAGAGCCATTGGTTGCAATGTAATGGTGTATTTGCAAAAAATGAGATTTCTCACATTAACTAAAGAGGCGGTAAAAGAAAGCAAAAAAAAAAAAAAAAAATTACAAGAACAGAAGTCATAGAACTACTGAACAAGAACAATAACATCACCAATTCAAGCTTGTTACGGACATGAACATCAACGATAATTGAAATTCTAAAGAGCCAATTCCTTCCTTTTCGGAGTGAGATTTCTTCTCCTGAAATCTCAAATTCAATAGTCTGTGTTGAAGGGGTTGTATGATTTGAGGTGAAGAACCACACCAGCAATTGAGCCGGCGGCTACAGCCACAGTTATGACAAGGCAAGTCGCACTCAAGATTTGTAGGCAAAGCCATCTGGTGCTCCACTTTGGTAACATCTTCAGCACAATGTACATCTCCACAGAAGGCCAACGATGCCGTTGAAGAACGATAACAGGATCGAGATCAAGGTGGTAATGATCACAAAGATTGTCCTCCAAACCAGCCTAAAGAGGTTGAGGTTGTGGAAGCGGGACCCCGGGGGGGTGGGTTGGGGGCGGAATCCTGATCCCTCAGGTTATGAATTCACTGTCCGAGAACTTTTGTGCTGCTTGTTTCTCGATGAAGGCGAAGAGGGGTTGGCAGTAGACTTGGTATGCACCAACAAGATGGATTACGATTGCGGCGTTGGCTTTGTCTAGGAGCCAATAAGGGTTGTAGAAGCCAAAGCCAGTGAGGAGGTTTCTTGGCTATGTCTAGGAGCCGATAAGGGTTGTAGAAGCCAAAGCCAGTGAGGAGGTTTCTCGGTCCGAAAGCCGCATATCCCATGCAGCCACAAAGCATTTGTAATTAATCCTTGGATTAATAAAAGCAGAATCAGCTACCAAAGCGAGTGTCTTAATTATGCATGCATAAATATACTTTATATGGACATAGCAAAGCGAGTGTAAAATAACCAGAGTTAAAACGCCGAGAGAGAGTCCTAATATAATTGCAGATGGAACACTGTGCTTGACAGATCCATCAATCAAAAGAATCCAAGAAACGACGGCAGTGAAAGAAAAGAGAACAGTGCAAAAGACTGCTTGAGGTGTCCACCAAATGAACGAAGACATCAAATATTTTCACAATATCAAGATACAATTGTACAAGATAGCTACTTTATTTATGGAAAAAAAGTGATTTAAGGCATAGCTAAGTTCTCTAGCACTGTTTTACAGGGTCATTCAAATGAGTAAACGGACTTGTAGATCCATCTACAGTTCATTCATCTCTTGAAGCAGGATCCATCCCGGTTGAAGGATTGTCAGCAAAATATTCTTGGTGCTTCACATTTACGCCATGCTGCTCATTGAACAAAAAGAAAAATATATACAATTAATAATCGACCTTTATTTACACATGTTAATGCACTATTGTGTTTTTATCTACATATTTTGCACCTCATCTAACTCAAACTCAGATGTTCGGATACAGATATTAGTATTCCAAGAAAATGCTGTTAACTTTCCCTATTGCTTGAATCATCATTGAACAAAATACAAATCCTGACCAGTTGAGTTAAACGAAGAAAAATACACACCCAGGAATAATCTAAAGTCCCTTCATTAAATGGTTAATTTATTTTCTGCTGTTTTTTCCTTTAACAAAGAGTCCTACGCCTAGAAATGGGAGCCATAAAAGTCATTAAGACAACAACAAAAGGAAAATTTCGGTGCATACCTCTCGCAATGCCTTCGACAAGTCCTCCATTGTCAATATAAGGCGCTTTTCCTGTTTCCGCAAGAAGTTAAAAGACCGGAAAAATTAAGAGATACTATTCACAATGCAAATGTGATACCTTTTGCTGCTTATCCCTTTTGTCCTTGATGATTGATGCCTGCCTTGCTTTGCACTGCCTGCAGTAAGGTATAAACATTAAAAAATCTTCAAACACCTAAAACCAATAGAACAAGTCAGAAAAGATATTCACAACAAAAAAATTAAATTTTCAGATGATAATCCATAGAATGACTCATCTTGTGGCATCTAATGTAAGAACAGAAATTTGGCTAGGTAACTAGTTAAGCTATAGCTTTATACCTCTCGCTTCCTTTTCCCCTTTCCCTGACCCCTCTCTCAATCTTCAAAATCTAAAAAATTACAGATCTATTCCATTCTCGGAGTTCAAGAACCATATTCCCAAATCACTAGTTTGTTCACCAGAGAGAGAGAGGATGCCTTAAACGCCTATTTGTTTCTCGGAGTTCAAGAACCATATTCCCAAATCACTAGTTTGTTCACCAGACTAGCATGATAAGTATTTATGAATGTGAAAAAACCATGCACTATGGCGGGAGACTTACTGAAGAGCATCAGTGGCAACCTCTGCAACAAACTTCTGTGTGGCAACAGCCACCAACCTAATTCTGCCACAAAGGAGCAAAACAAAAAAAAAAATAATAATAAAAAAAATTTAAAAAAAAGGTCAATGCACAAGGAGCATATGACAAAAACAGTGACATTTTCTTATTTTTCAAATACACTTTAAAAACCAAAAATAGAAATTATAGGCTTCTTTGATTATGCTCAAAGGAATGTGATTACAAGAGATCTGCCACATGGAGATGTAAAAACTAACAGCCACGAGTTTTTACCTTGTGTTTAGTAAAATCTTTCAGATAAGAAAATGGTTATATTTCTAGATCATGACATCAGTTTCTAAAATTTCATTCCACTGAGGGTGCAGCTAAATAACCAAGACATGGCGCCATTCGATTAGACCCACCAAAGCAACAACATGCAAGGAGGATGAATAAAAAAAGAAACAAAGCAAAAGAAAAAAAAAATCTCCAAGCAAACGCATCCATGTCCGTCCCGTTGACCACAACCAGTTTAATTTTATGCTAATTGGATGACTAAATGTTTAGAATTAGGGGTAAATCTTTCAGCAAACAACAGAGAGAGGACAATTAGTTAACGACAGTCAATGGACAAGATAACCAACAGTTCCATATAACAAGCCATAAGTGAATAACGAAACATAAGAACTTCAAAATCAACAAATTAGCATCCCGAAAGACCACTAATTTTGCACTTAAAAATGCATTAACATCCTCCTTAAAAACTAATTTTGAACTTCGATTCAATAATTTTCTTTTTATCCAAAAATCTTGATAATCAGCTCGCCCCGTGAAATACTACAAAATTATCCTAACTTACCCTAATCCAATTGATCAGCTAGTTAGCTTAATTTCACGCATAGCCGAGCAATCATATTATACCAAAGAAGAAGAAGAAGAAGAAGAAAAAAACCCTAAAAAAAAAAAAAAACCAAAGCGGAATTAAAAGGAAAAAAAAATTGAAAAAAACAAAGCAAAGAAGTACCTACAATCGAACGTCGGGACACTGAAATCCACTCTTGGCAAGGTAATGCTCCACTAGCTCGTCGGGTATCTGAAATCAAAATGATCAGCGCAAAACATAAGAAAGGAAAAGGATTTTCGGAAATCGAAAAGGGGATTAATTGAAGAGAGAAGAAGAAAAGGACGAACAGTTGGAGTATAATCCATCAAAGAGGCGAGAAACTCTGTTAGGGCTGTGTCGTCGTCGTGTCTGCCATCGCTGGATTGCTGGTTGTGGTTCATTCTCTTCTCTTCTCTTCTCTTCTCTTCTCTTCTCTTCTTCTTCTCGTTGCCAGTGAATTCGGAAATCGGAATTTTTCTCCTTTTCTATCTACTTTATTTTTTTTCTTCTCGACAAATTTGTTAAATTGACTATCTAACAAGTTAAAATTAATAAAATGACTTTTTTATTTTTTATGAAGAATGAGCACTCAATTATTCTATGTAAAATGGTCGCTCTTGATTGTTTTAGTCATTTTATAAATAAAAAATTTTAAAAAATTATTTTGTTAATAAAATTTTTAGATAATTTTAATAAATACAAAAGTGTACTTAAGATATTTATCAGAATAAAAATTCACTCTTAAAAGAGTCAATTTTACAAAGGCATCATTTTTTAAAATGTTTATATTTTTAAGTTAAAACGATATGCCGTTTACTTGCTTCGCCGTTTGAGAAAACATGTAGTTCTCATTTGTTTTAGCTTTGCTGTCGTTTCGGATCAAAATGTCCTTTGAAGTACAAAAACGATATTAAACAAAAAAAGGCTTTATTTTAGAATTTTATTTACCCTTAACGTTAATTTCTCTATAAAGTTTGTTCTAGTTTTTCCGTCGTTGGAATACAAACCAAAATAATCAACGTTGTCTTTCGCCTATCAAAAATTCTTGTCGTTTAAGTATTATGGAGGTAGTCGTTTATCGTTCAAATGTCGTCTGTCATTTGTGTTTCAAAATCGCGGCTGTCATGTGTGTTTCAAAACCACATATCGTGCTCTAAAAATCAGGTCCTTAATAAGTGGGGAAAACGACGCGATTGTTCATTCTTTACAACTCTGCTGTTTTTTTTTCATTAAGTATTCTTTTGAATAGTAACTAAAGCAGATGTCGCTCCTTAGATAACTTTACTGTCGCGTTGAATTGAATCGAATTTTCTTTTTGTCCGTTATTCGAAAAAGAAAAGACGTCTCCTATGTCTTTATATTTTAGCGTCGTTTATGAAGATGATATGTCGTATAGAAATTCATTATCGTAATTGGTCTTCCTCTTAGACGTGTTTTGCTGCCGTTTTTATCTGTTCCTTCAAATTTCTTTTTAGTGTTACACGATTGACCGAGATGTCATAAATTTATAAAGTCCGCTATTGTTTATTATTCAAACGTGTCGTTTTTAACTTCTTGTCGTTTATGAATATAATTTGATAAACAAACTATATATGAACCAAGAACTCGTCAAATTTACAAGCTCAAGAGAAAAAAAAAAATGAACTTGTCGAATTTACTAAATTGATCAAACAGAATAATGTGCCATGACATAGGCGCACATTATTGGCTCAACGGAACCCCATGCTACATCTCCTATTCAAAAGTAACGGGCATAAAAGTTTCTTTTTTTTTCTATTTTTGTTAAATAAAACTATTTTCATTCAGTAGTACTAGAGATCGACATAAAAAACATTCATTATGATAGATAAAACAGTTAAATTACGACAGCAGAACATGAAGATTCACATAATTTCATGCAACTTTTTTTTGTTTTTATTTGTTTGTTACATAGCTGTAGTGTTTGATAAACTGAAAAGAAAGAGAAACCAGGACATGGATCTAAAACTTCTCCTTGCTATAACGTTGAATTTCGTCGAGATCAACAGCGCCAGGAGGGAAGGCAGGATCAGTAGCCGCTCTAAGAGCAGCCTTTGCCACGAAAGTAACATTAATAGGAGGATTGAACAGAGGCCCCACCAGAGGCAATTTTCTCAGAGGTTTCGCGCATTGGAGAACCTAAGATCATTTGGCACCGAGTTAGCATTCCACATCTTCAGATATTCGGTTATAGGGGGAAAAAACTCAGGTGACAAACTAGAGAGGGTCAGTCACAATTAGTGTAAATTAGAATATGGCAGCGTGCATGTTATCTATACGCTTTTACAAGCGTGTACCCTTTGTTAATCTAAAGATAAACCAGATGTTCCTATGGCTCGTATTAGTCGTATGTTTTCATATTAGCCTTTGTAAGATAGATGGGGAACATACACGCAAGAAAACGAACATACATATATTAAATAAGAAAGAATCGGCGACTAACCGTCTCCACTGGATAACCAATAACACCCAGAGGTAATTTTATGCTTCCAATACGGCGAGTTCCATAAACGAATCCAGGCCCCAAAATCACTCCTGAAAAAAGGGGTGTGTAAGTTATATAACACTGCTCTATAACTATCATATCATATCACATCATATCACCACACCAAACAATTCCCTTTGATGAAAAAAAGGGTGTTTAGTCATTCATTGAATTAAAAGCTTAAAGACACGTTACTTTCTCATTGTTCTTGTCAACTGGGAAGAATTAAATTGACAGTTAATGTAACTGAAGTTATAATGAGAAGATCAAAGAACTCACCTCCATGAGGGAATTTAGTTAGTAGCTCCACTTGAGTAGCTCTCTGCATTAACAAATAGAACTTTGTAATTTGTACAAGATCAAACCACGTCGTAACGAAGATATATCTTCCAGTCCATATAACAAATCAACCATGAATTGTACGCAGAACCATCACGGAAGCCATGTATGAAAATGTATAAAAGTTAGAAATGCTGAGGTGTACATATTGTATTTACAGTTAGTTAGGATAATATGTAATCTAGAGCTATAGTTAGCTTATTTCCTAATTTTCTGGTTAGTTAGATTTTGTTCCTAAGTTAGTGGTAAGCCAGGCTATAAATGGATTGTAAACTTTGTATATTTTTTCAGTACGTTTATTCAGAAAGAATCAATTCAGCCCAGCAGTGTTATTGTGTTTCTTTCTTCTTATTTACCTTTATGGTATCAGAGCTATTAAAGGGAATATTGAGTAGAGAGAAACAATGTCGGATGCAAGCAGGACTGATGGCTCTAAGGTAACCCCGGTTACCAATCAGCCAACTCCTAAAATTGCTCCCACTGCGCTTTCTGAAAGCACTTCTTTACAGATTACCACGCATAAACTAAATGGAAAAAATTTCCTTCAATGGTCTCAATCCATTCAAATGGTTATTAGAGGCAAAGGGAAAATAGGGTATCTAGATGGCACAAATGCCATGCCTAGTACTGATGACCCAACATTCCCAACTTGGGATACTCATAATTCCATGGTAATGGCATGGTTAATTCATTCCATGAAAGAAAAGATAGGGGAAACTTATCTATTTTTTTCCACGGCAAAGAAAATTTGGGATGTTGTAACCCTCGCCTATTCAGACCTTGAAAACTCCTCTCAGATGTTTGAATTGAGAAACATAGCACGGAGTCTAAGGCAGGGGGAGAATGATGTGACCCAATATTTTAACGACCTCACAAAGCTGTGGCAGGAACTGGACTTATTCAAAAGCTGCAACTGGAGAGATCCAGAAGATGCGGTACTTCATCAGCAAATGATCAACAAAGACAGGGTCTACGACTTCTTAGCTGGACTTAATAAGGAGTTGGACGAAGTCAGAGGACGTTTGCTAGGAATGAGACCACTTCCATCGATTGAGGAAATTTTCGCTGAAGTCTGTAGGGAAGAGTGGCGGAAGAAGGTGGTGCTGAACGAGACCACAAGTTTAGAGACTGAAAACTCAGCCATGGCAGCCAGAGGATCTCAAGGACGAGGAAACAAGAAACCTCAGTTGTGGTGTGACCACTATCAACGCCCACATCATACCAAGGAGACCTGCTGGAAGCTGCATGGAAAGCTAGAGAATTGGGTACCAAATGGACAAAGAAGCCGAGAGGCTAAAGGGCTCCAAACAGTTCAAGGTTCTAAGGCAGAAAAAAAAAATTGATAGCAATTCAGCCATGACATTTACAAAGGAGCAGATAGACCAGCTATGCAAACTTTAGCTGCCACTCAAACCGCAAATCCTCAGTCTATGGGTACCTCTTTTTTGGTACAAAAAGGTATGAACTTTACAGCTTATGGCAGTATATTAGTTAGTGGGGAACCGTAGATAGTGGACTCTGGGGCCACAGACCATATGACAGGTTGTGGGAATTTGTTCACTTCCTATACTCCTAGTCCTGGAACTCACAAAGTGAAGATAGCAGATGGCTCCTTTACAACGGTGGCTGGAATTGGGACCATTGAATTGAGTCCAAAGATCACTCTAAAATCTGTTCTCCATGTGCCAAAATTATCATGCAATTTATTATCTACTAGCAAAGTTACTAAAGATTTAAATTGTATGGTAAAAATCTCACAATCAGTTTGTATTTTTCAGGACCAGACTTCGGGGAGGACGATTGGCAGTGCTAGAGAGTTCGAAGGGTTACATTACTTCGAGAAGGATTCTAACGTGAATAGTCAAGTTCAAGCTACAGTGTGCAATACCACCGTGTCTAGGAAAGAGAAAATAATGGTGTTACACCATAAGTTAGGTCATCCTAGTTTTGCTTATTTAAAGCATTTGTTTCCATCATTGTTTCAAACTCAGGATTCCTTTCAATGTGAAGTTTGTCAATTAGCAAAACATAAAAGAGTTCTTTATCCTTCATTATCTTATCGTGGATCTTATCCTTTTATGCTTATTCATAGTGACATATGGGGTCCATCTAGAATTCGTAGCTTAACCAACAAAAGATGGTTCTTAACTTTTATAGATGATCATACAAGAATTTGTTGGGTGTATCTTTTAAAGGACAAATCTGAAACTACACAAATATTTCAAAACTTTCATTCCATGATTAAAAATCAATACAATAAGAGTATACAGATATTCCGTACTGATAATGGTACAGAATATTTCAACTCTTGCTTGTCCAACTTTACAACAAAAAATGGAATGATTCACCAAAGTTCTTGTGTAAATACACCCCAGCAAAATAGGATTTCAGAAAGAAAAAATTGCCACCTTTTAGAGGTAGCACGGGCTCTATTATTCACTTCAAATAAACTAAAAAGATTTTAGGGGGAAGCCATTTTAACTGCATGCTACTTGATAAATCGTATGCCAACACGAGTTTTAAATTTTCAAACACCAGTTAAAAAACTACTTGAGTCATATCCTGAGTCTCGTCTTTTTTCTTCCTTGGATTTTAAAATTTTTGGATGTACAGCCTTTGTACATAATCATGACCAGAATCAAAGCAAATTAGACCCTAGGTTACTCCACCACTCAAAAAGGATTTCGGTGCTATTCCCCAGAAAAAAGGAAATTTTTTACATCTATGGATTTTACTTTTTTTGAGGATCAACCGTTTTTTTCAAAAATTCTCTTCAGGGAGAGAGTATGAGTGAAGAATATTTTTTGGAGCAAAATTCGGTTGGTGATGAGAGTTATTTAAATTCTGGTGAAAACATAGTAGATTTGTGGGAATATTTTTGGGATCCTTGCTAATTTTTCTCCTATTTCCTTGAGTGAAAATTCAAATTCTAGTCCAAATTCTCAGGAAAATCAGAGTCTCACTCTAGAATCACAGGAAAATCCACAATCTACTCAAATGCAAAATTTAAATCCCACTCAAACCGTGACTGATTTAAACAAACTCTCGACCTCCAAGTCTTCCTCATTCAAACTTTGAGTCAAACTTTGAGTCAAACATGGCACCAAATTCAAATGTGAATCTAAATCCCACAAACTTATCCGAGTCAGGGGGAGTATTGCACACACAACCAGAATTCCTGACTTATTCTCGGAAGAAAAATTCAAAAAGTGACAATAATCCTAAAAATCCTCCCTGCCAACAACCCAATCCAGAGTCGGGTTCAAATACGAAAAGTGGTGATCTAGATGTGCCAATTGCTATAAGAAAAGGGTTCAGGACATGTACACAACATCCCATATCAAAATTTCTGGGATATGAAAATTTGTCTAAGTCAGTTCAAGCTCTAATAACGAACCTTGCAGACGAAGAAATCCCTAAGAATGTGGAGGATGCCCTGAAATGCCCAAATTGGATGAAGGCTATTATGGAGGAGATGAATGCCCTAGAAAAAAATAATACGTCGAAATTAGTACAGAGACCTCTGGATAAGAAACCGGTGGGCTGTAAATGGGTGTTTACCATTAAATACAAGTCAGATGGTTCAATTGAGCGCTATAAGGTGAGGCTGGTCGCCAAAGGGTATGCGCAGACATATGGGATAGACTATCAGGAGACATTTGCTCCTGTGGCCAAGATTAACTCTATTAAGAGTCTTGCTATCACTTGCAGCAAATTTAGATTGGCCACTACAATAGCTGGATGTCAAGAACGCCTTTCTGAATGGCGACTTAGAAGAAGAGGTCTACATGGAGTTGTCACCAGGCTTTGATTGTAATGAAGGCAGCGGTAAGGTATGCAAATTACAAAAATCACTATATGGGCTGAAACAGTCTCCCAGGGCCTGGTTCGACAAATTCACGAAGGCTCTAAAGGAACAAGACTACAAACGAGCTCACTCAAATCACACTATTTTCTATTGACACGTGAACGGTAAGATTGTTGTCCTTATAGTTTATGTGGACGATATAATCTTGACAGGTGATGATAAAGAGGAGATGGAGCGGATAAAACAAAAGTTGGCAACTGAGTTCGAGATGAAGGACTTGGGCAACCTCGGGTATTTTGTTAGGATCCTGAAAATCTATGCTTCATTAACAATACTAGAAATGGAAAATTACAAGATAGATGGGCGGTTTCGAGGACCCCCGACCTCCAAAATAGTGCACAGCACTAGACACTCTCTACAAATTTGATTATCCCCTCCCTAGCCACTAAACCCCTTATTTATACTCTCCTTAAGACTATTGAAAAAGACTTCTAAATATTAGGTTCCTAACATATTTTTGGGCATGGAGATTGCAAGAAGCAAACAAGGCATATTTGTTTCACAAAGAAAATATGTGTTGGACCTACTTCAAGAAACTAGAATGATAGGTTGTAAACTAGTGGACACTCCGTTCGATTCAAACTTAAAATTAGGGGAGAATTTGAACAGTGAGCCTGTGGATAGAGGGAGATACTAGCGGCTTGTTGGGAGACTTATTTACTTGTCTCACACTAGGCCAGACATAGCGTTTGCAGTGAGCCTTGTAAGCCAGTATATGCACTTGCCCACAAAGGAACACATGGAGGCTGTGTATAGAGTTCTGAAGTACCTAAAAGGCAGCCCTGGTCGAGGTCTGTTTTTCAGAAAAACCAGTGAGAGAAGTGTTGAAGTTTTCACAGATGCTGACTGGGCAGGTTCGATTGATGATATGAGATCGATTTCAGGGTATTGTATATTTGTTTGGGGAAATTTAGTAACCTGGAAGAGCAAAAAACAGCCAGTGGTGGCCAAAAGTAGTGTTGAGGCCAAGCTAAGATCTGTTGCACACGGTGTATGTGAAGTTCTTTGGCTAAAACAGTTGCTAAAAGAGCTGAAGGTTGTTGTGAAATTACCTCTGAAAGTTTATAGTGATAACAAAGCAGCAATTAGCATGTCTCACAATCCAGTTCACCATGACCGAACAAAGCATGTGGAAGTGGACAGGCATTTCATTAAAAAAACATTGAAGAGGAAGTTCTGTGTGTTTCTTATGTTTCAACTACAGAACAAAAAGCAGACATCCTTACTAAGGGACTTGTCAGACCTGCGTTCGAAAAATTGGTGTGCAAGCTGGGCATGTTTAACTTATACAACCCAGCTTGAGGGGGAGTGTAGAAAAGTTAGAAATGCTGAGGTGTACATAATGTATTTACGGTTAGTTAGGATAATATGTAATCTAGAGCTATAGTTAGCTTATTTCCTAATTTTCTAGTTAGTTAGATTTTGTTCCTAAGTTAGTGGTAAGCCAGGCTATAAATGGATTATAAACTTTGTATATTTTTTCAGTACGTTTATTCAGAAAGAATCAAGTCAGCCCAGCAGTGTTATTGTGTTTCTTTCCTCTTATTTACCTTTAGAAAACAATATTTAAAGATAATGAACAGACTAAATGAAAATAGGAGACAAATTTTACCACTTAACTATTATGCTTCAGAAAGACAAAGGATACTAATATTAAAGCGCCTTGAGTAAATACATGAAGAAAATAAAGCCAATATATCCAATACACTTGCAAACAAACCTCAAATGAAAAGTGAAAAAGATGGTACCTTTCCCTCGTAATATCCACGAAATAAAGGGGAAAATAAATGGGTCCCTTTCTTCTTTATCCCTTTCTCCTTTATTGCACTTGCAGAAGAAATGTAGACAAATCTTTTCACACCTGCAGGATTGAGATCCAGAATTCAATTTGCACAAAGAAGCGCAGGCAAACTCTGCTCGGTATTTTAGGATTAGCTGATATCTCTTCTGTCACGTTATTCTCATCCTTTTTGAGACCCTTTTTTTCTCATTTGGGGAACATCTTTCAAGGCAAACAATCCATAAGGACATGTTTGCATGTCATATATGGGAAACAGAAAGGCAGAAATGTTTCCCTTTCTCCTGGAATAAACCACATAATTACTTTTGTAGCGTTACTAAATTAATTTAGTAACTTGTAATCATGTGCAGTGGACAATTTGATACTTAAGCAAGTAGGATTTCTATTCTAAAGTTTGTGCACACGAGAAAGGGAATCTTCCTAATAGTTAAATAAACACCCCTTTCTTATTTCTTTTCCTTCATTTCCAACATCTTTCCATTTTTCATTACAATCCTCCAGAAGTTAGAAAACATGTCGTTAACCATAACTTCACAAGAGATAAACGGTATTACCAAACCATAATAAGTACAACTGAAACATTAGTATGGATTTATACCTTTTTCTGAAGCAGCTCTAATTGCATTAATATTTGCAGTCCCGTTGATCTCATACATGTGCGAATTGGGGCCCAAGCCACCGACACAAGAGATCTATAAAAGAAAGCTAAATTAGAATTGTAGACAAATCCCTTCCAGGAAAAGCAACGGAACCAATATCAAAGGCTAAGTAAATGGAGGAAGTGTATCATTTTGATAAGAAAAGTTTCCCCAATTTTAGTCAATAATTTGATTTATTTATTTGTGGAGTTATAGCTTGATTTAGAGCATGGCTACTTTAGTTTAAGAGAAAAAGGAGTTAAAATATTCCTCCTTGGCCATTCATGTACATTGAAAATGAGTTTAAAGGATTAGATACCACAGAAGTGACTCCATTCAAAGCATCCTCCCAAGAACCAGGTGATAGAAGGTCTCCTGTTGATTGAAATAAGGTTGAGAACCATCATAATATTCCAAAACCAATGCCTTTATTAGAACATATAATACAGGAAAACAGACCTTGATGCCAAGTCACGTTACTAGCCCATGAATCCTTTATGGATGATCGACCAGATCTAAGGAGGAGGAAAAGTGTAAGAAAACCAAACACTCATATCCTCAGCAGAAAAGCTCCACTTATGGGTAATAAAATTCGGGTTTTACTTTAGTCCAAACCATGACTTCTGTTGGTTATAAAAATATTTGGAGGATATAGAATAGATTCATGATGTTTAGAATGGGCCATCAGCAAATAATGACAGGAAATCATTAAAACAAGCAAACATAGTATGGTATTTCTTCATGCATCTTTTTATTATCGTCATGATTATTATCATTTTCTTTTTACAAGAAAGGTATTTCGTCATATATCATCTTCATAATTTCACAATGTCAACATCCATATCACATATACCATTCAGCATACACGCACGCATATCTATACACTTTCTAGGTTTAATCTTGAAGCAAGGTTATAGTTGTCATAATCCATACTTCACAAGTAACTGTTGATATTCCATCATCTTCTCTCTTGAAGATGCTTTCTCATAAACGCGTTTGTTTCTATTTTCTTTTATCATTATTTTGTTAGGATAAATAACGAGTTTAGTATCATACAGGCATAAAATTGGCCGCTCAGTGAACAATTATGTTAGATTCAATAGACTAACAACATCCTCTCAGACAACAACCACATATCAAGAAGCAAAAGAAAAGGGCGATGAACATGGCAAAGAATTAAACCTGCTCACGCTTGCAACAGACAAACCACGGTCTACAGCTTCTTTACAAATATGTGAGCCAATAAATCCATTCCCACCCAACACAAGTAACTGAAACAAAATAAAAAATGAAAATGAATAATAGCATAATTATTAATTCAACGGACCCTTGAATTGCCAATTCTGCGGGAAGGTAACACCCTCAACCTCATCAAACAAAATACCTTCTCTGCAGGAGGAGGGACATTGACAGTCTCCGCTTCCTCAACTTCAAAGTGTTTGTCACTGTTTGACGCAGCCATTGAACTATAAGGCACGAATAATCAGAATATAAAAAAGAATGGATAACAGATTAACTTGATGCAAGAGCAACTGAGTTAGTAAAATTGATAGTTTAATATCCACCATAACCAGCTTCACTAACTAAAACTATCAAGAGAAAACCCAGGAAGAGGTATATTTCTCTGTTTTGGCCAAAATCTAGACCAAACATATTCCTTTGCATAAGAAATCAACAGAACATACAACTTAAGGAAAAGGGAAAGACAGCCAATTATTTTCACCTATTTGTGTCCTACAGCAAATTCATGAACGAAAAAGAAACAACAATATAATAATAACCAAAAAATTATGATAGAACCATCAGGAAGAATTACGACAAGTGCACCCGAAAAGTAAACCAGAAAGAACCGGGAAAACAAAGTACTCAAAATGTTTGCCACACTTTCCCAGCAGCCAAACATTACATAACATTACTTTGGAAACAAAGACACCAACAAGAAACACGATCACAATATAACTACAAGATAAAAAAATTGCATATAAAAATTGGAATTGATTGCAGAAGATTAAGAAATTAATGAGAGCAAAAAAAGTCAAAAAGGAGAAAGATAGCTTACTAGAGCTAGGGAACTGATGATGATCGATAATGGACCAAACCAAGAAACCAGTGTCCTCATTTCAACATTTTCTCTTCCATTTTTCTATCAATAAACTTGCTGCTGTTTCAATCCACGAATGCTTGACTTATTCTCTTATACAGTTTTTGGTCAAAATTATAGCGCAAAAACATAATCAAAACTAAATTAAAAATGACAACCTTACGAACTAAAACAAGCTAAATTATCAGAGTCAAACACAACTAGTAATTAAAATATATAAAAATCCAAATTTCAAAGATAAATGTTTCTAGAAGAAGTTATAATAATACTAATAAGAATAATTTCCTATCAAGGTGGTTGTGAGAACCGCCGGCGGTGAATCTGGCAACCATCGAGGTTGGGCATTTCTCGAAACCCTGTTCGGATTGGTCTAAAATCTTCGAATCCGGCTTCGGACATTTCCCGCCAAGAAATTCATAAATCTACGAGACTTTGCCGAGTTTCCATTTTCCAAGTTTGGCGAAGCATAAATTCAGAATTTGCTCATCACGAAACTTTCGAAGCATTACGTAAATGTCGTTTGTCATTTATTTGTGGTCTTAAATTGAATTGAAATGTCGTTTATGGTCAAAATCAACAAAAATGCTGAACGGCGGTTCAGCACTGCTCCAGAATTAACTGTCATTTACGGAAAGCAATGCCGTATCTTCTTCCAATTTAGCGTGGTTAATGTCATGCAAATGACACGTTGAAATTCATTCATCGCAAATTGTCAATACGTAATTGATGACGCTTTTTATTATTCGCTTATCGATGTCATTACTTATTAGCTCCTTGAAATTTCTATTTGAACGACGCGTCGTTTTCAAAATCTTGTCGTTTCATTTATAAAATTTGATAAAGAAGCTATCCATTTTACAATTTCAAGGGGGAAAAAAAGGAACTTGCCCAATTATCAATTGATCAGACAGAATAATCAAACAAAAAAATATTGCCATAACTCGGCGCACATTATTGGCTCAACGATCCCCATACAACATCTCTGATTAACCAGTAACGAGCATGAAAGATTCTCATTTCATGCAATTTTTTTTTTCCCCGAGTTTGAAGTATTGATAAACAGAAAGAAGAAGAGAAGCAACCAAGACATGGACTTAAAACTTCTTCTGCTTATAACGTTGTATCCCGTAGACATCAACAATTCCAGGAGGGAAGACAGGATCAGTGGCCCCTCTAAGAGCAACCTTTGCAACTGAAGTGACGTTTACAGGAGGAATGAACAGAGGCCCCACCAGCGGCACTTGGCTCAGAGGTTTTGCGCGTTGGAGAACCTGCGGTTATGTCAATACAATTATGCATGCTTATTTTATAGCTTTAGATGATTTCGCTGAATTAACGTTCCACATACATTTTCAGTCGTTAGGTAGGTCAATAACAGGGGAAAAATACTCGGGTGATAAACCAGAGAGATCACCAATAGTTAGTGTCAATTCCTATGGCTAAAGAGAGACGGGAAGAACATAGAATATTTGCATCCTGCAGTGTGCCAAAACTTTCATGCACTTTATCCATTAAATGTTCAAGTGCCTGCCCTTTGTTCTGCTAAATCTATAGATAGTCCAAATGTTCCTATGGGTCGTATCGGACATCTATACATGCCGGAAAAAAGAACATAAATTGAATAAGACTCAGCGACTAACCGTCTCCAGTGGATAACCAATAACACCCAGAGGTAGTTTCATGCTTCCAACACGGCGAGTCCCATAAATGAATCCGGGCCTCAGAACCACTCCTGAAAAACAGTATGCAAGTTATATACAATCGTTATACTTGTATAGATATTGTATAGATATCCTATCGTAAAGCAAATTATCACAGTCTTTACTTCTAAGCTGAGAATATTTCTGAAATTAAAGAATTAAAGAGGACTACCACAGGCCCTCTGAAATCCATTCCGTTTGATAAAAATAAAATAAAAATAAAAAAGGTTCGCTCATTCATTAATTAAAGTTTTAAGACAGGTCGCTTTCTCGCCGAGCAAATAGGTAAAACTAAACTGCAAAACTTAATGCAACTGAGTTATATTTAAAAGATGAGAAAACTCACCCCCATAAGGGAATTTGATTAATAGCTCTGCCTCAGCGGCTCTCTGCATTCGAAAAAGATGCAAATATAACTTTATATAATATCAAACTACACCCTGAGAAAGATAAATTTTCCAGCCCATATAATTAATCAACCACCAAATTGATGTATGAAACAATATTTAATCACTACTGCATTAACATAACGGATAGACTTAATAGACACTAGAACACGAATTATACCACTTTACTATTATGCCTCAGAAAGACAAAGGAGACTGATATTAAAGCGAAAATGCTCTAGGCATACGTGAATACGTTAGAATGCAATAAGCCAATATATCCAATGCACTTGCAAAAAAAAACTTGAAACAACAAGTGATTAAGATGGTACCTTTCCCTCGTAATATCCTTGCAATAAATAATTTGCCACACCAAAGTCAGCAGCAGAGATGTAGACAAACCTTTTCACACCTGCAGGATTGAGGGACTGATTTCAATTTGCACATGGAAAACATAGGCCAGCTCTCCTCAGTATTTAGGGTTAGCCAATATCTCTGGTGCCCATGCAATTCTCATGCTTTTATAGACCCTTTTATTCTTGTTCAGGGGCAATCTTTCAAGGTAAAGAATGCACTAAGGGCATGTTTACTTGTCATAGATGGCAAAGGGAAAGGCAGGGATGTTTACCTTTCCCACCTATTCATGAGTTTACCTATAAAATGAGGACCTCTAAATTGATGGATGGGGCCCGCGTGACGTAGAGATTAAGTAAAAAGAAAGCTAATCCTAAATTACCCTCGTATAGTTTCCCTTTCAATGAACACAGAATTACTATTGTAGCCTTACTAAATTTTAACATAATTACATGCACAAGGATAATTCAGTATTTCAACTATTAGGATTCCTTTTTCTAAAGTTAGTAAACACTAGAAAGGGAATCAGATTGTTTCCAATTCCACTTTCTAATAGGTAAATAAACACCTGTCTTAATTTATTTTCTTCCGTTTCCAACATCTTTCCCTTCTCCATTACAAATTAGTAAATATCCTCTTAAGAGTTTAACAAACCATAACTTCACAAGAGACGAACAGAATTACCAAATCATAAGTACAGCTGAAACGTTAGTATGGATTCACACCTTTTTCTGAAGCAGCTCTAATTGCATTGATATTTGCAGTCCCATTGATCTTATACATGTAAGAATTGGAGCCAAAACCACCAACACAAGAGATCTATACAAAGGAAACCTTAATCAGAATAGTAGATAAATCTCAGCCCAAAAAGCAACATAACCAATATCAAAGGCTAAGCAAGTGGATGAAAGGTAGATGAAGCATCATTTAGATAAGAAAAGTTCTCCCAGTTTTAGTTAATAGTTCAATTTAGAGCAAGGTATTTTAGTAAGCTTGCTACATGAGAAATCCGCAAAGTTAATAGATGCAATTTGCAAAACTAGAAGAAAAAATCCATTTTGCTACATAACGAGTAAAGAAAAAGGATGGACGTGCACTATTAATGTCATCATACAATGAGAATGTCATCTGTACTAAGAAGTCGGCAAAACAACAGCACAACAGGCAAACTACATAGCTTCACCATTGTGCGTGTGTGACTGTGTAACAGAGACATCTCCTATCTCCTTTTTTATTTTTCTTGGCCATTCATACACACAGAAATGAGTTGAAAGGACTACATACCACAGAAGTGACCCCATTCAGAGCGTCCTCCCAAGAACCGGGTGATAGAAGGTTTCCTGCCGATTGAAATAAGGTTGAAAGCCATCATAATATTTTCAAAGCAATGTTCCCAATAGAAAACACACTACGGAAAACAAACCTTGGTGCCAAATTACGTCACTAACCCATGAATCCTGTATGGATGATCGACCGGATCTAAAAAGTGAGAAAAAAGTGTAAGGAATACATTATTAGAGTTTAAACTATAGCCATAAGAAAGTGAAAGAGCAGAAGCTGCCACTCAATAAAATCACTAAGGAGTAAGACCTTAATATTAGTTAGAAAACCAAACAGGCATATCATTCGTGGTCTTTGTTGCTCATGAAAATATTCAGGGATCTAAAGTAGACATATAGTTTTTAGAAAGGACCATCAGATCACTAGAAGCTCCTTTCTCAGAAAAGCCTTTGTTTATATTTATTTTTTTGTCATTAATTTGTTGGATAAATAAAGCCTTAATGTTATACAGGTTAAGATTGACCACTCCGTGAAGAACTATGTAGATTTAGTAGAGTAACAGCCTCCTCTCAGATAACAACCTCAAATCAAGAAGCACAAGAAAAGGTTGATAAACATGGTAAAGAATTAAACCTGCTCAGGCTTGCAACAGACAAACCGCGGTCCACAGCCTCTTTACAAACATGTGAACCAACAAATCCATTTCCACCCAACACAAGTAACTGAAACAAAATGAAAAATCAAATGGGCATTCATTCAAGATGTCCTAAACGATAAATTGCCACACTTTCTCGGTGATGCATATACCCTCGAATAAAAACAAATACCTTCTCTGTAGGAGGAGGAGGAACATTGACAGTCTCTGCCTCCTCAACTTTAAAGGGTTCGTCGACCTTATTAGATTCCGTTGACAAATATCTTTCACTGTTCGATACGCCCATTGCACTATATGGCAACAATAATCGGAATATAAGAAGAAAGGATAACAAATTCACTTGACGCAAGAGCAAGTGACTAAGGAAACTTGATTGCTTATTGCTTAATTAAACATCTAACATAAACCGCATCCAGTTTAACTAAACTACGAAGAGAAAACTCAGGCATAATTTCAAAAAATCCAGAAGCATCGCGATGAATCTCAGTACAATTAATTTCTCTCTGTTTCTTTGTGCTCATAGTTTGGAAAATCTATTTCAGGGATTAAAAAGCCAGAACTTAAAAGGCTTTGTCCAAGTTCCAGCCTTCCAGATACTACCGTTCATCCAAAGAAAGGAATGTATGTTCTAACAGTTCTCATATTTGCTCAAATTCTAGAACCAATCATATTTCGTTGAAGAAAATGGTTAAAACAAAAACAAAAAAAGACAAGAAAAAAACATATTAAATTAGCAGAACATATAATCAAGGCAAGGGGCATTTTTTTCCCTATTTATTTTCTAATGATAGAACCATCCAGAAGTTTATTAATAATAAATAAAAAAAAAGATAATTTCGGAGTCCTTATTTTCCAATCTTTTGCCACACTTTCTCGTCAGCCAAACATAACATTTAAACATTACATTGCACTTGGAAATAAAGACACCAAAGAGGCACACGATCACAGTCTAACGCACAAATTACAAATGCATATAAAATTTAAAAGTGGTACCAGAAGGCAGAAGATACAGAAATGAATAAGGAAAAAGAGAGAAGCTTACTAGAGCCTGGGAACAGTTGATCTTGAATGGATCAAACGCGAAACAAGAGTCCTCATTTCGAAATTTTCTCTGCCACAATCCCTTCTGCAATTCTAGGGTTTCTTCGTTTCTACCAATTAGTTCTTCAATTATTTCCACGCGAAGGTGGGGATTCAAAGAATAAAGGAGCAAGAAGAACAAGTAAGTCGGAAACTCGGACAGCGTAGCTGTTTCTCGCTCAAGATCGGAGCAGTTTTAGAGAGAGAGACAGAGGACACATGGCGGCTAATGCTGGTGACAGGTTTAAGTACACGTGGCTGACTCTAAGCCTAGTGATGTGATGAAACTTTTGCGAGAGGTTTTTTTGGAAAAAAATAATAAAAAGGACCTTCTACGGCTCAATATGTCAGATTTTCAGTATATTAAATTTATACAAAATCATGTAAAAATAAAAAAATACATAAATTTAATAATTAAAAAAATTTAATACGTAGCGATGCAAGAAAATCTCCAAAATAAAAATGATAAATAATAAAATAATATGTTATGAAGAAAGTCCAGCCTACGTCAAACGCACAAGAACGGTCTTTCATCGTTCCCGTTCCTGACTTTCTACGATGAGTTGATGGCCCTTGACTGCCGTTTTTGTGGGACCTACTCATCTTTATTTGATGGCGCATCCCCGAGAATCGAGATTCCCGAGACGACCAAAAGTTTCCTTGCTAATCTGGTAAGGAATTCAGTGGGGCCCTATCTTCTTGGCCCAGTCTATTATGAGCTTACAAAGACTGCTTATTGGGCCTCGTCGAAACCTGGAAGCCGATGTACCTGGGCCATACAAGATGTAACGTGGATGACCACTCTCCCATGAAGATGAGAATGGTAATCCAAAAACATTCTTATTGGGTTGCTAACAACAATCAAACAGGTACGTTTGGTAGTGATTCTTGGAGCCCAAAATTAATTTTCTAACCATCCACAGAAAATTTACATTTCATAAAAACTATAAAAAGTAATTATTTAAAAAAATTTAAAGAATTTACAGTCAAAATCAGAAGCAGTTTAAAGACAACTTTGGTTTTTAGATTGTGTGACAATCATCTTAAAATACAATTAATGAAACTTTCATAATACTCATAATACCCTAAAATCAATACTTGTATAATTACAGTTTATCAAATATTCAACTGTTTTTTGTAATAGTTATTTTTTTTAGCACAACTAACAACAATTTTTTTAAAATCTACAGCACTACTAAATTGGCCCGACGTATAATGTGTAGGGCCAATATACAGTCAGAAGTTTCAAGAGCTAGACCGTAAAATCTACCGTTGGCTTCATGTCACAAGGCCAATATACTCGGATCATCAATGTGTCAAGTTTCCAGTCAACTAAAGCCTCTTTTAGGGGAAGCTCTATGCTAAAAAATTAGTACTCTTTGACGCTTCAAATAGAGGAAAGCAAAAGAAAATCGAAATGCAAGTATACGAGAATAGTGTGTCTAGTGTGTGTAGAATAAGAATACTGATAAGAAAGTGATATCTCGGTTCTGTTTATAGGATTGAACCAACAACTGGAGTAGTTCCAATAAACTCTACAGCCATAACTCTTGGAGTTAGGGTTTGGACCATTCGACTTAATTAAGATGAGTAAATACGCCTTGTGTAGAATCACCATTTATTTTATGGCCACATATCTAAAGTTGTTACTTAGGGCTGTCATATATTATAATATTTTCCTATACTAATACTTGGTTACATTTAGTCACGAACTCTTTTTTTTTTTTTTTTAATAATCAAAGTGTATGTTTTGGTAACATTCTTCTTCATTTTTTTTTTTTTTGTTTTTCCTGGCCTTATATAGGAATTGCGGGTAGTCAAGAAGAGAAAATACTCATTTAAGTCTTCCGAGCAAGCAAGCACATACTCAATGCGGGACATATTAGGATTACGTTTGGTTCATAGATTCAGAATTATTTTCGATTTACGTGTGTTTTTTGTGAGAAAAAATATTGTAGCGAACCACAAACCATTATTCAAATCAGTGTACGAGTCCCCCAACCAAACAACCTTTAGGTTATTTTTCAATTAGTGACTTAGGTAGTTGGTGCCCTACATCTAATAGCTCTTTACACTCAAGCCTTTGTTATTTTTATAATGGCGATTCTCCGTAAAAATCTCATACTCAAATTGGCAAATGTTTTAGGCGGTCCTTTCTTCTTTTAATTTCTTCGCGCATTTTGGTTTCAGTTTCACCACTCTAATCCAAAAGGTGTCCTAAAAGGAGCTCGATTACATTTATACGCCAAAAAAGAAAAAAAAAATCAAAGGTTCTATATTTTAATCATTTTTTCTTTTTGATGTTATTTTGACTAAAATATAACATTCAAAATCATGCGTTATATATCAGTAGAAAGCTATAAAAAAAAAATCATAAAATTCAGATTTGCCTCACTCTTTTTATCCATCTCCGGATGCATGCAACACAAAGATCTCGTGGGAATCTTCACTATAGAGATGAATATGCTCAAACCATTTCAGAGAACAAAGTAGATTACATTACAGATACATAAAATCTTACAGATCATAGACAAGTATATATAAATAGTCAAAGTCACTACCCCACTGATTAGTGTATGTGTATATGTGTGTGTGTGTGTATATATATATATATATATATATATATAGCTCATCTAGACTTAACAACCATCTGTGCAACTTGGTGTCGATCGAAATGACTACACGCTAAAGAAAAAAGGATAAAATCTCCGGATATGCTTTAGGTCCAAATTATCCAAGTTGAGTATTGATTTCCCACATTTAATTTTTTTGGAGAAAGATTAGGAACTATCATATTTGTTGCAAGTGACATTGAATTTTACAATATGAGCAAACTTGTACGTCTAATCTAAATCTAGAGAGAATCGCAACAATATGAATCCACAAGAGTGGAATATCGTCCCCCTTGATACTCGATTATAAAATGTGTGTTAAACTTGCAGGTGATGATTAGACGACACTCGACTGGGAATAGCTTCCAAAAAAAGAATATGATCAAGAGCTTAGTGCGCGGCGGCTTCATATATTGGATATTGACTTTTGTTAATTAGTAATAGTTCTCGTATATCATCATCATCTACGTCTACAAATTGCAACAGTTAAAAGTGGCTGCCAAATATTACAAGTTGAAATTCGAAAAACCAACCAAAAAAAAATTAGATCCGTTAATGGAATGGAAGCTTGGCGAATTAAGGATTTTGTTCTGAAAGCGATGTCACACTATGCTGAGGTAAAAAAGCAAGACACAAATTAACATTCGATTCTGCGAATTGGATTGCTTCTATATATACACACACACACACATGAGAAAACGACGTCTAATAAGGGCACCAAATCCCGTTTTGAAAGCAATGTGATTCTTCGTATATAGCTTGAATGAAAGAAATCGTTGAGATGTGCGATTCCCTCTTTAATTTAAATGTGACACATTCGTTCCCTGATTTGAATTATGATTCGTAATGATTCGTGATTCGCTACAGTATTTTCTCTCACAAAAAATACACGTAAACCGAAAATAATTCAAATCACATGGTTTGAATCTTCCAACCAAACGTCCAGTTGTTGCAATAGTGCTACTGCTAAGAAGTTGACATAAAAATTTACTTAATAAGTAAATAAATAAATAACCCTTTAACAAATGCATGAATGCAGCATCGAAACACAGTACTGAAGATATTTGATACAGGTTGGATTTGTTAAGATTGCGTAATTCTTCACTATTCACTATCGAGAGTAATAAAATTGCTGGCAAAGGTAAATAGTCAAGAATATGCACGAGAATTATAAGTGGCAATATAACAACTATACATCTATTTTCAACCGTTTCAGTGATTCATTATGACAAGGAAAAAATATAAAATAAATCGCACATCTCTCTTGTAAAAACGGAGCCGCTTTCAACCGTTTCTTTTGATCTTTGAAACGAAGCCACTCAATTGAAAGAAATTCAGGATAATTGAAACTCCAATAAAACCAACATGTATATTAGAAATTAAATTTTTAATGACGACTTTTACTATGTAAAGGTGGTAAGTAGTGTGAAAAAAAAAAAAAATATATATATATATATATATATATAAATTGTCTCCAATCCGGTATCGGAATGAAGCGACACTTATATATTTCTTCTTTAAAATATGTATATTTTTTTTTTAAAACGTGTATATTTTCACTTAAAATATGTACATTTCATTTTATAGTAAAATATATAATATATATGTTTTAAGAGAAAATATATACATTTTAAAAATAAAATATATTTTTTAAAGAAAAAAAATACAAGTGTTGTTCCAGTTCGTCCGGTCCGATACTGGACTGAGACTTAGCCTATATTTTATATATATATATATATATTGTTTGCAGGCCAAACTGGAAGGTACATTCATCTTACATTACATGTGTACTAATTAGGGTGCTATATATAATTTTACGTTTTTAGTGGCAGCTCCCTTATCTTTAAGGGAAGAATCATGTAATGAAAAAGGTTCTCCAACGTCATAAATCCACTCAAGTGGAAGGAACATGGTGCGCCTCTTTTTCATGTTCTATATGTTGTGGCGAAAGATTCCAACACTAATCTTTCTTATGGTTTGTCGCTATTGATTAGATTAATTTCGACGCCATTAAACTTTTTAATTAAAATTTAGGGAGATTGGCCCGGATCAAGTGCCCTATGCACTATATATATATATATATATATATATATAACCATGACTATCTTTATAAATGTAATATATATATATGTGTGTGTGTGTATGACATTACATGGATATATATAATTCACATCATTGAAATATCCAGTAGATGATAGATTATGAGAAGATATTATTCTTTTTTTCTAGCCATCATGAGCAATTATTAGTAGTAACCACCACTTTTCCTTATTTGAACTTGGTGATCAAAATATAAAGCCTTAAAGCTTAATAACCCACGAAAGCACCATTAAGATAATACTAAGTACAACAATATTACCACTTAGCGATAGATGAAGCATAGATGCCATAGCGTCATATGTAATCTTCAGTACTTCGATCTTGTGTCGTGTTAATGTGATTTAACTCAGACATAACAACGTCACATCATTACTACCATGCCACCACTAATGGAATGCTCGAATATTTAACGTTAGCACAATGGGTGACATGTTATTGGTATCTCAAATTAAGGTGTCGTTCACTTCGTGGATTCGAGTTTTTAATTCGAACTGAGATGTGAC